ACAGATTCATCTTGGAGAGGATTAAACCAAGCTACTCCTTGGAGGCAAGGATTCTGGGGCTTCATCTGACATACTTTGGACATGTTGCCAGGAGGGACAGGTCCTTGGAGAGGGATATCATGCATGGGAGAATGGAGGGACAGTGCAGGAGGGGAAGACCCTCTATGAGATGGATTGATTCTGTGACTGGGGTAATTGGGATGGGTGTGTCAGAGGTAGTGCAGTTTGCGCAGGACAGAGCAGGGTTTAGGGCTGTTGTACATAGGGTCGCTATGAGTCACAAACGACTCGACGGCATATAACTACATCAACATAATAAATCTGCCCAAATAGTACCCAAAAAATATAAAGGAAGAAGAGTCAAATATATAAAATATGATCACAGTCCTAAATCTCAATTACTAGAACCACATGTTAATTTAATATTTTTTTAAATGATAACCCACATCAAGTTGATGTTCAATTTATGCTTCCCATTCCAGTTTTCAAGAACAAAATTATAGGTTAGAATTTTTCAATTAGCTCTGCACATTGTTTGTCAGTCTTTTCACGCTTAGATGGTAATCCTTGTAATTATATGACACACAGGAATAAATTATCTTTTTAAAAACTACTTCCTAGCAAACTTTCCTAAGTGAGACCCAGCCAGAAACCAAGGAAAGAGTGAAAGAATAAATTAACTTTCAATTACTTACTCTCAAGTTTGGCATGTTTGTTGTGGTATGTCGTTGAGTATACTTCGCTCATATTTAGCTTATACGACAATTTAGAACACTCTCAAAAGGTTTCTCAGGCTGCACATTTTTACAAAAGCATACTATCAAGATTTTTTTTCTCTCCTGCTGTAGCACTGTTGAATGTGAAGTACTAACCTTTTAGTTGGCACTAGGGCAGCTCAATTCAAGTTATTGAAGGAGAAGAGTGTGTAAGACTCACAGACATTCTTATGTACAACAGAATGAAACACCATCTAAATGCATTGTTGCAGGCACTGTATAGTCAATCTCATTATGATTCTTGTCTTCTGTTGATCTATTATTTTACTATGGAAACCTGGGGACATACTGTGTTATGCTTTGGGTTACTATCTGAAATGTTAGTGGTTCAAATCTACCAGCTACTACTTGGGCAAAAGATGAACAGTCACCTGACACAGACAAAGATTTATAGCCTCAGAAACTTACGAATGGTCACTATGGTTCAGAGTCAACTTGATGACAGTGGGTGTGGGTTTTGGTTATACTTTATCAAACATTATGTCTTTCTCTAGGAACTGACATCTCAGGGAATGTTGACGTTATCTTAGGTGCTGTCCAGTTGTGTATGACTTGTAGTGATCCTTCAAACAACATCTCTAAACCATCCTCATCAACTCCAACATGCATGTACCATTGCTTTAATCACCATGCCAATTCATCTGGTTGAATTACTAATAAGTACTACATAGCATCGTTATTATCAGCATATCAGCAGTCAAAGGAGATTCCAAAATTTACAAATAAGGTATTTTATTGATACAATATAAAGATCTTATTCAGAACTCATTTTTATTACACAAAAAACTCAAGCGCATTTTTTTGGTGCGGTTGTTTTTATGCCAAAAATGGAATAGCAATCAAAATTAAGGGATCTCACTTCCTCATGAAAAACTATTGAAATGAAAAAAAATAACCAATATTAACACATTGTCGTTGTTAAGTGCCTTTGAGTCATAAACGGCTGATAGTGACACTATAAATGAAAGCCATGAACACTTGTGTAACTTTCATCATTTCTCTAAGTTCATAGTTTCCGGAGGCAAGCTATTTTAGAAGTGGGTGTCGTATGATAGAGAGAAAAATAAATAAATTTCTGTAAGGAGTGAGAAATTATTTGTAAGAAGCCACATTCTTAGTAGCCAGGAGAAGTGTTAAATAGAAACTCAAAACTCATTGCCAACTAGTAGAAACGAACTAGTATGTAACTGTCTCTCCACTGGTTTTTTGACCTATAAATCACACAGAAGAGATAGCCTACATTCATTCTGAGGAGCTACTGATAAATTTGTATGGATAGAGGGATACTTCCTTTAAGTTACCAGTGCAACTCACTGTGGACTAGATCACCAAAGTTCTCTTTAATATAAAGAGTCAAAAGTCAAAATCATTACTATTAGAGTCTATAGATTGCAAAGAAAAGACTGTTCCTCTTTCTCTCAAAGAGCAGTTGGCAGGTTCAGATTACCAGAGAACTGTAGTTTAATGGCACCACAACTCTGGAGATTATGCCTCCAGAGCTTCCTTTTAAATTGGAGAAGAGATGGAAAACACATCTCTCTTCTCTATTCAGGGAGCTCTTGAGGTCTAGTAGTAGTGAGTTGCACTGCCCACCCAACAGCAAGTGGTTCAAGCCCACATGTAGTTGGGTGGGAGAAAGATGGACAATCCTCCTGTGTGACTTCCAGCCTTTAAAAACTCCTCAAATGTCACACGATAACAATAGCAACTTCACTACTTATGATCAAAAGATAAAGCTTTCTGTCATTAATTCGGAATAAAAACAACCTTAAAGAGAGATTAGAACTATCCCATAGGGTTCCTAAGGAAAGCTGTGAATCTTTATAGAAGCTGATTTTCACAATTTTCCACTTGGAAGTGATTGGTGTTTTGGACCAACTGTACTTTATTTTAATGGGAAATTTAGTAGATGTTTAATCCACTGCATCACCATGCTCTCTCATTCATGATGATGTTGTTATGGGCCGTCGAGTTGCTTGAGACTCATAACGACCCAATGTACGATAGCCCTAAACTCTGCTCTGTCCTTCACCAATTGTACTGTCTCTGATACACCCACTCCAATTACCCCAGTCACTGAATCAATCCATCTCATAGAGGGTCTTCCCCTCCTGCATTGTCAGTCCACCCTACCAAGCATGATGTCCCTCTCCAAGGACCTGTCCCTCCTTACAACATGTCCAAAATAGTCCAAAATATGTTAGACGAAGCCTCAGAATCCTTGCCTCCAAGGAACTGCCTGATTTAACCCTCTCCAGGATGAATCTGTTTTCCTAGCAGTCCATGGTACCCTCAACACTCTTCCTCAGCACCACAGCTCAAAGACATCAATTCTCCTTCTGTCCTCCCTAGTCACTGTCCAACTCTCTGATGTGTAACAAGTGATTGCAAAGACCATGGCCTGTATCAGACGCACCTTAGTCTCCAAAGAGACACCATTGCTCTTCATGACAGAAAGAAATCCTCAAAGGCTGAAAAGCGGGTCAGCTCAAGGGGCCTTAAAACCCCCTACCCACTTATACAAGACGGCGCAGGATTTGTTTGGACCCTCGGGCCAAGAAAAACCTATCTACACACCAGTTCTATAGGACACATCACCTCCGCTCGGGAAACATTTCCACTAAACTTAAGAGACACTGCTCACAGTATTAGAAACTATCAGCAGTTGAAGCGTTTGGAATCACAGAAGCCAAGGAAGCTTCAGATATAAGCTATCAGATCAAGGGCTGGACAATGGGAGATAGATGTTGAAGGGAGTGGGTAGAAGTGGCTGGGTATCCTGATGGATGGTGGAGCAGGGAAATAAATGGGTAAAGACACTTGTGCCAAAGGCAGGGACAACACTGATACTAATAGTTAACTGCACAATAAGGGATATACCTTTCACTTTTTCTGTAAAATGCTTGTCTGTCAGATACTTCTCTAAATCTGAACATTCAGATTAAGATAGACTAGGAAGAAGGATTGGCCATCCACTTCTGAAATAGCAGGCCTCTGAAAACCCTATGTAACCTCCTTCATGATGGATATTGTTAAGCATAGCATATTTCACATTCATTTCGAAGTCATTAGAGATTAAATTAGTTATTATTATGCCATGAAATTATAAAATGTTAACTAAATGATGGATTTTCCTTATTAAATTATAAATATGGATATTATCTCATTCTTTAATAATTTTGGAAGTTGAGGGTCTGTGTTGTATGTGTCATAAAAGTCATGATGGAAAAGCGACAGTAGAAGGGAGACAGAAGTATAGAGACTGAGAATATAAAAGAAGGTGAGTAAAGATGGAACATCACTTACCACAAATTTCATTGCCTTCATCTGAGCCATCTGGACAGTTTAATTCTCCATCACAAAATAAATCAATTTCTATGCACTTTAAACCATCAACACAAGGCCTTGAACCTGGTTGGCAGTCTAATGAGATATTTTCTTAAGGGGGAGAGAAAAAAAATATTTGTTAATTCAATTCCCAGTGAAAAAGATTTAAGCTTCAACTTG